TAACCATTTAGGGAAAAATATTATGACTTTTAGTAGATCATTTAGTAGAAATATTATAATTTTTAGTAGAGATAATATCAGTGTGGATGGAGTCATAAACTTCATATGGGACATGAGTAGGATTTAAATGTTCCCAGAGTAAGTGACTAAGTATGGCAAAAATGTCAATTTTTTTCAAGTAAGTATACAGGATTGATTAAATTCTAACATTAAAGAAACCCTGTTTCCTCTATTCGTAAATTTACTGATACAAAGTACTGGGAGTTAGTGCAGATCCTGTATATAAAGGGGCCTGAACCACATGATCACGCTCCATCCCCATCCCCATCAGTCTCCAAAAGCAAATCTGGTCCACACACTTCTGACCAACTAGCTAGACATTGTGAGTTTCTATAAACACTTCCTTAGGTTTGATAACTTTCTAGAATGGCTTAGAACATGCTTACTTTTACCATTCACTATTACTAGGTTATTACAACTCAGGAACAGACAAATGAAAAGAGATGTCTGGAGCAAGGTATGTTGGAAGGGCAGTGAGTCCCACACCTCTCCAGAAGTACTAATCCTCTCATTCTACAGGTGGTTCCTCTGGTAACCAGCCTCCATTATTATCACAAAGCCAGGTATGGTTAACAAGGGACTCATCATGAATAAAGTTCCCCTCACGTCTACTATTAAGAAATTATAAGGATTTTAGGAGCTCTGGACCAGAAATAGGGATTGGAGACCAAATTGTGTACTTCTAACTATGTCAAAATATACAAAAAGCAAAATAAGCCCAAAATAGAGACAAGAAATAAAGAGCATAAATCAACAAAATAGGAAACAAAAAAATAGAAATACTCAATAAACCAAAAGCAAGTGCTTTTAAAAGATTAGTATAATAGATAAACCTCTAGCTTGACTCACCAAAACAAAAAAAGAAAATACAAATCATGAATATAAAAGAATGATAAAAGGTATATCACCATAAATCCTGCTAACCTTTAAATGATAGCAAGGAAAAATGATAAATAATGTAATGCCAATAAAATCAGCAACTTAAATGGGATGGATAAATTCCTTAAAAGAGGCAAATTATGGCCCTACCTGGCAGTCCAAGGGGTTAAGTCTCAGAACTATGAAACTGTCCCCAGATACTGCAGCACAAGTTCCATCCCCGGCCAAGGAGCTGACCCACATGACACAGCAGACCTCGCCTGTCTTACCCACTGCTCCCCTCAGCAGTGTGTTTCAGTAGATCCACAGCTCTGCTCCCCACTCTGTGTCTGATGAATCCTCTCATACCCTGAGCCTCTGGCCTACACCCCAGTTCTTGTATGCATAAATAAATGAAACAAATCTTTAAAAAAACAAAAGAAAGAAAAAGGCAAAATTGCCAAAACTGACATAAGGAAACAACAAATTTGGACAGCTCTATATTTATTAAACAAATTTTTTTCTTGTTAATTTGTTTATATTGAGGCATGAGGGAAATAGCCATTCTTTTCTTCCCCAAGGAGTTCACATATTTATTACTGAGTCAATCTACTAGGTATACGACAAAAAGAAAACATGACCAGTGGTGATTTCAGTGTGACATGGGAAGAAACTAGTGACCCTGCCAAAGCCTAACTACATATATCATCTCATGTGTGATCCTCCTTACAGACCCACCTTGCTTCTTCAATGTCTCCTCTCTTAGAATTGATTTTATTGCCGGTTCTCATTCAAATCCAAATAAAGGTCATCGACATAAAACTTACAACTAGAGGGGCTCTCCCTGGAGGCTCAGCAGGTTAAAGCACCTCACTATGAAGCTCTCCAAAGCCACAGCAGCACGAGTTCCATCCCCAGCCAAGGAGCTGACCCATGGTGGCAGATGGCCTGACCTGCCCACTGCTGCCCTCAGCAGTTTATTTCAGTAGATCTGCCTGTTCTGGCCCCCACTCTGTCTCTGGTGAATCCTCTCACCCACTGCACCTCTGGCCTGTACCCCAGTTCTGTACGCATAAATAAATCTTTAAAAAAAAAAACTTGTTTCACCTCTACTATAAGAGAAAAGCAATAATGTCTCACAACATAGTATAGAAAAGAACACTTCCCAACTCATGATGCAACTGATACCAAAACCAGACAATGACAACATATGGAGGAAAATGGAGTAAAATCCCTTGTTAATGTGGTCATCAAAATCCTTAATAACATGTTATCTAATTAAATCCAACAATTCATAAAATGGGGGAAGATGTAAGGTGGGGAATTGAAGAAATGGATCACTTGAGTTTAATCCTAGGAATATAGGGTTGATTTAGTATTCAAATATCTGTAAATTCATATAACAACAATATTATCCTATGTTCTAGTCAGTGTAAGAAGGCAAGAAAAAGTAAGAAAATACATAAACAGGGCCCTCCCTAGTGGCAAAATGGGTTAGAGCACAGCACTGCAAACTAGCTGCAGCTGCTTCAGTGCTAGTTTGAACTCCTGCCCCAAAGGTGATCCACTTGGTGAGGCAGTCCTCTCCTGACCCACTCACTGCCCAGTGTACATCGTTGATCTGCCTGTTCTGCTACCCACTTTGTCTGTGCTGAGTCCTCTTGCTGGCCCCACACCTCTGGCTTGTACCCCAGTTCTGTATGCATAAATAAATAAATCTTTAAAAAATATATAAACATAGGAAAGAAGCAAAACTATCATCTGCAAGTGTTATGAACTGTCTATATAGGAAATCCTAAGAAATATACAAAAAAAGGAAAAAAAGAGGAATGAAGGAAGGAAATTTACTAGAACCAATAAAGCCAACAGAGTCAGTATCAGAAAACACAATCAATGAAGAAAAATTGTAGCTCTGTATACTGGTAACAAAGAACTAGAAGATAGTGTTAAAAACAATACCTTTTAGAATAGCATCAAAATTCAAAACACATAGGAATAAATTTAACATATGATACATGACTGCTATGAAATATTACAGAAAGAAATTAAAAATGGTCTAACTATAAGTAGAGTTTATACTATGTTCATGGATAAGAAGACTCAATATTATTAAGACATCCATAGTCTCCTCAAATTTATGTTGACATTTAACACAATCCTAATCAAAATCCCAGCAGGCATTTTCATAAAAATTGAAAAAAAAAAAAAACAACCCTGACAATCTTTTAAGACTGATGTAAGGATTAAAAACATATAAATAGGCCCTCCCTGGTGGCGCAGTGGGTTAAAGCACAGCATTGAGAAGCTAAAAGCCACTTGCACAAGAGTTCGATCCCCGCCTGCCCCGGAGGAGACCACATGGTGCGGCAGACCTTTTCTGGCCTGCCCACTGCTCCCCTAAGCAGTGTACTTCGTCAATCTGCCTGTTCTGCTCCCCACTCTGTCTCTGGTGAAGCCTCTCGCCGTCCCTGCACCTCTGGCCTGTACCCCAGCTTTGTATGCATAAATAAATAAATCTTTAAAAAAAAAACATATAAATAACTGTTGGGGCCCTCCCTGGTGGCGCAGCAGATTAAAGCACAGCACAAAGAAGCTTAAGCCACTTCCGCATGAGTTCGATTCCCGCCTGCCCCGGAGGAGACCACATGGCGGGCCAGACCTCTCCTGACCCACCCGCTGCTCCCCTCAGCAGTGTACTTCGACGATCTGACTGTTCTGCTCCCCACTCTGTCTCTGGTAAATCCTCTCACCCTCCACATCTCTGGCCTGTACCCCAGTTCTGTACGAATAAATAAATAAATCTTTTTAAAAAATAAAAAAAATATATAAATAATTGTTGGGTGTCGGTAAAGTAGAGAGCAATGTGTGGAAAGGGCATAATGGATTATGGCAGAGGACTATCAGTGGTGGAACTGACTGATGGACATACACCTGAAGGTATGATCCCATACCTCTGAATTACATATAAAGCTGTAAAATAATATTATCTCAATAAATATATATGTATAAATGTATATTTTTGTGTATATGTGCACACACACACACATAATTGCAACAAGCAGACTTATTTTGAACCTACCACAGGCAGTAATTCAATTCCCCTGAAGGAGACTACTTGCTAAAGTTAACAAGGAATCTGTTAAAAAGAGATATTACATATAATGATCTCAGCTATTAATTCCAATCAACCTTTTCTTAGACGAAAAGAGATTACCATAGTGTAGTAAAAATTATGTTTTCCTTAAAAATAATTAGGGAACTCTAACTTATGAGATAAGTTATAGCTGTGGTAAAACACAAGTAAATACAAGCAATCCCATTTTATTGTTTTTTGAACAGGACAATGAGTAATAGTAGTAGTAATCCTCTTCTGGGTTGTGCATAATTTATTTTATAAAATAGAAAAAATCTTTATCACATAAAAGGCACTATCAGATGGAACTAGGAAACTATAAGAGTGCTGGTAGTTATTTTAAAGGTTAAAAGAATTTGACATTTGAATAACATAATTTTCAAATACTTTATGAATTTTAAATAATTTTATATCTAACTAACTGAGTACAGTAAATATTTTTAGTCATGGTATAGTATTGAATAGCTTTTAAAACAGTGGATCAGATATATCATTAAGAAACTCACTTAAATGTAAAACAATGGTATTTTTGTAAAAAGCCCACAGGGCATCCCTGGTGGAGCAAGGGGTGAAAGTCTCAGTACTATGAAGCTATAGGCAGCCACTGGCACTCTCCTGACTGGCCCCACTACTCCCCTCAGCAGTGTTATTTCAGTCAGCCTGCCTGTTCTACTTCCCAGTCTGTCTCTGGTGAATCCATTCAACACTTCCCCTAACAACCCCCCATTCCCGCACATCTGGCCTACACCCCAGCTCTTGTATGCATAAATAAATAAAACAAATATTTTTTTTTAACTAAAAAAAAAACAAACTGCACTTCAGAAAGCCAGAACATTCTAGTAAGTAATTCACACTTGATATCACACATCTAGCAGCAGGGAGGGTCGGTATAAGTGGAGTGCTCGTCATATGACAGGACGTGTTACCTACTCAGTAATTATGACAAGAAGCAGGGAAAGAGATGACATTATAATTCCAAATCAAAGCATCACATCAACAGAGTTCTTAGAATAAAGAACAAAACAGTGAATGTTTTGCTAAAAAAACAAAATTGGATGTTAATGCAGACAAATGGCTGTCTTACCAGCTCATGTAACATGTCTATTGTACATACTTAAAAAGGGAAGCCTTGCCAGTTCATATCTTTAAGATTTAAAAGAAAAGATGCTACCAGAAAAAAAATCTGTTCCTCTTCAAATTCTTCCCCTCACAATGGCCATCTCCACCCTAAAATTAGAAACCAAGCCAGTAAGAACCAAGGATAAGAATGTAAATAATATGTTGCCAAAACTTGACTGTATTAATGTTATATTATATGTAACAATCTAGTCTATGTCAACTACTAAGTGCTAAATGTGTCAATGCTTTGCTCAATGTCCATCATTTTACAAAATCTTTGTGTTTTTATATGTTGTTCCAGAATGCCCAGTGAGGAACCAAACCCATTCTTGTTTATCAAGCATATCTGTTTGCCCTGAAATGTTTGCTGCTCCCAGATATTGGGATCGCCTTTTACTACACATTTAGAAACTTTTTCCTTCTATAGTTATACAGCTCTGAACTAAAGCTAAGAATTATTACTAATCAAATATGATTTAGATAAAAGATCATAATATAAAATTATATGAGTTCATGTAAACTGCAGTTTTATTAGAATGGATCTGTTTGGCAGGTAGTTTTTATAAATTAATGTTCAAATTAAGAAAGCATGAATAATTTAAAGCTTAATAAATTTAAAAGCAAATGTGGGTGAATATACACATAACTACCCAGGATTTATGATATATCCCTAGAATTCTCTTGTCAGCATTTTTGAGTATGTAACATTAGTAAAAAGGATTTTTTTAAAACCATACAGTGATTCTGGGATTCCCTGAATTTTCAGCTGCTGCATTTTTCTACTCTACACCTGGCAGGTTCTTCTTCCTTTCAGTTTGTGCATTTCCTGTATTCTAAAAAGTAAACAGAAACAGGACCTTAATTGAGGAAATGGCGAGTCTTTGGCTAAGGAAATACAGCCACAGATAAGTATTTGTATTTTGCACCTGGGGGTTGTTTAATAAGGTAAAGGGAGAGTACTTAGCAAAGTGGTCTTCATTATCATCAATCAAAACTGAAGGTGGTTTTTGTATGGATTCTTTTCTCTTGACCAGAAATTACTCAATAGCAGTAATTTAGGTATTCTCTCTAGGTCAGAGTCTAGCCAATGTATTTATTCCAATATACATTTAAGCTGTATGAGAGAGTTTAATGTAGAACTGCAGAGTACCTGGATCTGGTTAGATCATTAAAAAAATAAGTCAACAGCAGAGCCAAGAACAGAACAAATAAGTTGCTACTCCCTATCTTATGATTTAAACGTGATATTCTCTCATGCTCTAAAATAACAAACTTGGTACCAATTCAAAATTTAGAAAGTTTTTTAATTCTGACATTAACTTATTAAAAGCATTTGGATTAGCCTTATATATAATTTCTATCATTTGTCCAAATTGATTTCAAATTGGCTATATAAATACTTTACTCCATCACTGAAAACTGTGATTTGTGGTTATTTCTAATAACCACAACTGCTTCAAGGACACTTTTTAAGAAGGTCATTTGTAGGAGTTTTACATCTTATGAGAAAGAAGGGATGTTTTCTTTGTTATATATTTTAAAAATGACAAGACTACCTTAAAATTCTTTTCTTCCGGCATTTGAATGTAATTTCATAGAGCAGTGGGGTAACACAATGCACATTACTTGTGCCCAAACCCTGGAGCCCTGACTTAGCCACACATTTAAAAAATGTGCAAAGGCTGGACTACGGTGATGGCACACGGGTGATTTGGTTATGTGAAGCCCACGGGACTTACAAATGAGATGGGGAAAGGCAGAAAATGATGTAAAAATAAATGATTATATTAAAAAAATGTGCAAAGGGTATGCTGTTCAATATTCCATAACAAGGATAAATAATACAAATTTAAAAGTTCAAAGATTCCTTATTTCTCTTTAAAATGAGCTAAAAGATGACTATTAATGGTCTTCTTGTTTAATCTAGAAAACAAAAAATCTACTTTTTGCAAAGTGGACTAAGGAGTTCTTACCAAGTTCAAGGCCAAGAATAAGGCATATCCAAATGTCACTAAGAAAATATATCTGACAGTATCTGGTAACTTTATCAGACTAATGTAGTGATTGACTAGACTTAGAATGCTTTCTTCCATAGTTTCTGATCAAAGTTTCTTCATTTTTCCAGTATCATCACATTTCCTTAGTAACTATGTAAAACAGTAAATTGTGTAGAACAGAAGGACAACCATATGATTTAATTTAGTAGATGATCAGGATAATCTCCTCCCTTTAGAATAGTACATTTAGAGTCTTCATTTGGATGTGGAAATCCTTCAAGATTTCCATATAAAATTCACTCCGGTAGGTAGTGGCTGGGACATTTCAACAAGACTATCTCATCGCTAGATGAGAGCAAATCTTTGTGAATATAAGACAGTAGGTGGTCAGTGGAGATGGAGTGATAAGTGGGAAAGGAAACAGGAAGGCATAGACTAAAGACAAGTACAAATGTACTTGCGACCAGTGTAATCCTGTGTTCATCTCTGCTGGCATGGTTTATCCATCCAATATTAGATGATACATACAATACACATATTTTCTTTGGGTACTATAGAGTCTAATCATTCAATATTCAAATGAGGGCCAGTACTCATTACTCCTGAAAAATAACTTTTAAAAAACTTTATATGTGATTATTCTGTGAAAAAATAGATTTGTTGCTAGAGCTCAAAGATTACAGAATCTTGGACTCTTATATAAAACATCCCACCAGTAATAACTAACTTTACATACCAACTTAAAAGTTGTAATAGCAGTCTTTAGTAAAAGCTATAAATGAAAAAAGCTTTAATTTACCTCTTGCTTTTCTTGATTTTGATCCACATTAAGTAAAGTTGGTATTTTAGATAAATCTGCTTTCTTTGGTTCTCTCTTCAGCACTTTTATCTGTTTAACTTTGGCAGAAATATATACAACAATGACAATTTGTTATTCCTACCTTAAAATTTTACTTTCCTCTCAAGAGTCCAATGGAAATTCTGATGTCCACTAAAGTTATTTTATTATAAAGAAAGTGAATAAGTCATGAGTTGTAATTACAAAATTGTCCGACTGTGTTTTGTGTTTATAACTTACATTTAGTCTATCAGATAAAAAGACATTTTTTTAAAATTCTGAATATAAATGTTAAGTGTATCAGGTAATTCCTCTTGAGCTATCTCTCTTCTTGCTATTCTATTAACTTTTCACAAGGTGTCACTGTTCTTCAAAGAAACATAACATTTACTGAATGCAAAAAAAAAAAAAGAGTTTCATTTTAAGAGGTAAATATTTGTCATCAATCTTAATCTACTAAATTCTTGGATGCCTGAAGCACATCCATTTATATAGACAAACAATCATGAAGAAGTGTAGGTAACGATTTACTCTGAGCATAATACTAAACCAAAACCACCTTCTTCAAATACTGTTAAAAACCAAAGCAATACTACAACATTTCAACAATTCAATACTGAGCTAATGAAAAGTTTCCTTAACCCTTTCTCAAAATCATCTCCTGTAAGTCTCACTTCTTATTTGACTATGGGGGAAAAATCATATCAACTGAAGGTATTTTTCACAGCAATTTGTTACTTTCTATATTATGGGGGGAAGACTTCTAAAAAAGATTACATCTGGAGAGTTATAAAACTATGCAATAGAATGTGTACCTTCTATTCCTTTCATCTCCTTTGACTGTATTGTGAAAGGCAACTCGGGGAAATGGAATTCTCTCCTGTCAGATCTGGAAAAATTCAGTTTCCTTTTGTTTCCATTTGCCATTTGGTCACTCTGACCTGCTCGCTCATTAAATATACGCTTCTCCATTTGGCTCTAAACAAATAAACAAGAGTATTTTTCACTGTTGAATGACAAAATTAGAATTGCAGCTATTTGGATGGTATGAGATACGATTCCTGTTAAAGCTATAAAAAGAAAACTCCAATACAATTTGATAAAGGAAACTTTTTTTAGCAGTCTGACTATTCTGAGAATAATGTAATAGTCTTGATCATGAAAACCATAATCTTAACATTCAATTTTTAGTCCTATTCATTGCACTTTGGACAAATTGTTTTAGTTCATTTTAATAATGATTAACTTTTCTCTTTCTAAAATGATGTGCTGTGGACACTAGGAAAACCCAAAGGGGGAAAAAAAATTACATGTGAGCCCAATATTCTGGAAATCTTTTGTTACCTACTCTTGCTCACTTGACTAGGATCATTCTTCTACAATCTAATATATAATATCCCATTGTGTGGATATTTTCTAGTGTACTTAACCATTCACTTGCTCTTGGATGGATTTATGTAGTTTTCAATTTTTTGAAACTGTATTTCCATTTTTTTAATAAATTACTTTCTTAGAAAAAAATGAGGGAATGAGCCAAACTGATCTTTTTACTGAAAAATAAGATGTGCCCCAGGGGCCCGCCCTGTGCCACCAGGGTTAAAGCACAGCTTCAGTGCAAGCTCTATCCCCAGCCTCAGAGGTGATCCACATGGCACAACAGATCTCTCCTGACCTGTCCCGCTGCTCCCCTCAGCAGTGTACTTAGTCAGTCTGCCTCTTCTGCTCCCCACTCTGTTTCTGGTGAATCCTCTCGCCACCCCTGCACCTCTGGCCTATACCCCAGTTCTATACATATAAATAAATAAATCTTTAAAAGAAAGAAAGAAAAATAAGATGTGCCCTTTGGCAATTTCTTTTAATCTATAAAGTAAGATATTAAAAACATTTTTGAAGTGAAAAATCAGTCATTACTAAAGGTTAAAATCTCAACTTATTTTGCTCAAATCATATATTAAATGTACAGATTATTATTAAAAATTAATTAAAATTGTGAAAGCACTAACATGGCCTATGTTCCTTTTATTATATTTTTTTACATCATTCTTAAAGATGACCTATTTTCAATTTAAGAAGAAAACAAAGGATACTAAAGCACACACTGAAAAAACTTAGAGCCCCAAAAAAGAGAAAAAAGGACAGGGGGGTAAGGGGAGGGACTAAGTTGAAGAGGCTATATTTGAATGAGTCTATTCTTGCCTTACTTGAGTGGGAACTGTATCCTCATGTTTGCTCTTAGACGTAACTTGTCCGATAGCTTGTGAAGAAGTACGTCTCTTTTTTGCTCTTTCAGTAGACCTATTATTTAAAAACAAATGAGAAGCTCTTAGAACTCCCCTTACCTGTTAGCTTCAATAAAGGCTCAGTTATACTATGAAAGTTTGCTGTTAGTGCACTAAGAGCCAAAATGGAATTGTGACTCCTTAAGTGTTACTTAAGTGTACTAAACAGACAGGTGAAAACAGAACAGAGAACAACTAACTCATGCTAACATCAATGGAGACATGTTCTGAAATTACTACGCTATGTACAATTGGTCCCTTTTATCTGTTCTGAACTTGGATCTTTTACTACTGAGTTTATGAATTTCTGAGCTGTAATTCAGTCCAAGGCTGAATTACAATTCCAACTATGGCTTTGGTGTTAACCTGTTTGCAGGGAGCACCACCTATGGAGACACAGACATCTCCCTTTGCCCATCTCTGCAGACGCTTCCTTAAAGATTGTAAATTATATTTTGCATATATACTCTGTGGACAACCTGTTAAGATTTTATTGATCTCTGAAGACTTTAAGCTTTACAATTTATAGTCCAAACCAGCATCCCAGGATCAATGTAGGTTACTGAACCTAGTCTCTTTTCTCATCGAGAGTCATAGTAGTTTCCCCTATTTAAAACTGACTTTGAAACCTTGTTAGACAGACTTTGCCATCCACCACATTGCCCTTTTAAATCAAATTTTTGGTACCAGTCACTCCGTATGTATTAGTAGCTAAATCTGTAACTGGCCCAATTTGTTGTATTTCTCTCAAAATATTTCATGAACACTATTTATCAATAAAAGATTATATCCAGTTATCATTTCTCCTTTTAGAGAGTTTACCAGGATACAGAAATAAAGTTTATTTTGTTATATCTAGTTACATTAATATCAGATCTTTGATCATAATCGCCTTTTGTTCTATTCAAAATAAATAAACTTTTCTGAGTTATTTAAAATAAAAAATTTCCAAAAGGTATTACTGAAAAATTAAGCATCTATATAGTCAAGTTCAATTCTTGGGGCTTCTTTGGTGATACAAAGGGTTAAAACACAGCACTGTGGAGCTATCTGCACCCATTTCAGCACGAGTGCAATCACCAGCCAGGAAGATGACCTACATGGCGTGGCAGACCGCTCCTGTCCCACCCACTGCTCCCCTCAGCAGTGTATTCCAGTCCATCCATCTATCCTGCTCCCAACTCTGTCTCTGGTGAATCCTCTCACCCCACCCCCCACCCCCCAATACCTCTGGCTTGCACTGTAGTTCTTGTATGCATAAAAAAATAAATCTCAAAAAAATCCTATAAAAAGAAAGCATTCAGTAATTATTCATCATCTGATGGTAATTTCAACTGATCTTCAAATTTAGTTTCTACATAGATACTATGAATTAGAGTTTTTGAAATATCATTAAATACTAAGAACACTGTATTATTAGTTAAGTGCATTTCCTTCAGTCTCTTTTCTGTTACAACTCACCTTGAATTGGAGTGGGTGAGATTTGAAATGAGATTTGAAGTCATTAAGTTACTGCTATGTAGGTTGATGGGTGGCATCATCACACTACCTCCAGCATGTGGTTCATCTTTCATGCCATTACAGGTGTTGACAGGATTGACAGGGTTTGGTTTATTAATTACAGGTTTTGTATCTGGAGACATAGTATGAGCATTTTCAGTTGTATCCTGTTGAAAATGTCCACCTTCATACTCCATCTTTTTTTGTTCTAATATATCTCCTTTTCCTCCTTTAACTTTAAAAACTCTGACTTTGATTTCCTTGGGCTTTTTCTCTTTTTCCATTTCCTAAAATAGATATATCTAAAATGTGAGTCAGGAGGACCATTATTTTTAGTCATTAGAGTGCTAACTATAAACAGTAAACTGATTAAGAGAATACTGTTTTTTACCTTTCCCAAAACTGAACTATTTAGTGTATTGGTATAAACTGTTTTTCTCTCATCCTTCATAAATTCATTTTCCTTAGAATTCTCTTTTGGCTTTATGAATGAATTGACTTTTGCCTCTTGAAGTAACTTAGCTCTCAGTTCTGGAATAAACCTGAGAAAACAAACAATATAAATCAATAATCTGTTTATTTATGTCATTAAGACTATATTATCTTTAGTGGACCCATTTAATCAATTAATTTACATTTCTGGTACCAAATAAAAAAGTCATCAATAATGCAATACTGCATCAAAAATGCATACCCATAGATGGCACATTATGTATAATACAAATTGTTTCCTGGTAGATATACCTTACAGAGAGCTCCCCCACCCCCACCAGTGGCACAGGGGTTAAAGTCTCAGTGCTATAAGTTATAGCCAGCCACTAGCCAGGTGCAGCAGACCTGTCTTATCTCATCTGCTGCTCTCCTCAGCAGTGTATTTCAACAGATCCACTTGTTCTGCTCCCCACCTCTGTCTCTGATGAATCCTTTCACCACCCCTGCACCTCTGGCCTGTATGCATAAATAAGCATCTTTTAAAAAATTCCTGAAATGCCTGGTGTCCTAGTTACCATCAAGAGTCTGTTTTTTTGTTTTTATAAGATTTATTTATTTATGCATACAGAACTGGGGTACAGGGCAGAGGTGCAGGGGTGGTGAAAGGATTTACCAGAGATGGAGTGGGGAGTAGAACAGGTAGACTGATGAAGAACACTGCTGAGGGGAACAGTGGGAGAGACATGTGGATCACCTCCGGGGCCGGAGATGGAACTCAGACTGAAGTGGCTTTGGCCAGCTTGTAATGCTGCACTTTAACCTGTCACGCTACCAGGAAGGGCCCAAGAGTTTAGTTTTTTTGCATTTTTCTAATTTCTTCTTTCTACAGTGGTATTTCCTAGACTTTTCCATGCCTGTTCTGTACTCCATCTAATTTTTAATTGATGTCCATCTTTCTGAATGTCACATCCAAAGGCCAACTGATTGAATTTGCAATAGAAACCTTTTCTGGGGCTTCCCTGGTGGTGCAGGGGTTAAAGTCTTAGCACTATGAAGTTATTGCCAGCCACTGAGGCATAAGTTTGATCCTTGGCCAGGGAGCTAACCCATATATGACACAGCAGACTTCTCCTGTCTTGCCCCACTGCTCCCCACTTTGTCTCTAGTGAATCCTCTTACCTCCAGCACCTCTGGCCTACCTCCCATTTTTTTCTATGGACAAAAAACAAAAAACTTTTCTGTTTCTATCAAATATGAAACAGGGCTGATTTATTAATTTGCATTGTCATTATTTATATATATATACATATATATGTACTCTGTGTAGGACACAGAAGGGCTACAAGAGGCACAGTCCTTATCTGTGGGGGACACCCAATTTGTTGGGGAGAATATGACAACAGGCATTTTAACAAAGAATAAGTAAAGCAGAGGGAAATAGCTTTGGGAATAAGTATTATTTATATAGATCAGAGATGCTATCAAAAATTAAAAAACAGGGCCCTCCCTGGTGGCGCAGCGGGTTAAAGCACAGCACTGAGAATCTAAAGCCGCTTCCGCATGAGTTCAATTCCTGCCTGCCCCGGAGGTGACACATGGTGTGGCAGACCTCTCCTGACCCGCCCGCTGCTCCCCTCAGTAGTGTACTTCATCGATCTGCCTGTTCTGTTCCCCACTCTGTCTCTGGTGAAGCCTCTCACTGCCCCTGAGCCTCTGGCCTGTACCTCAGTTCTGTATGCACAAATAAATATATCTTAAAAAAAAAATTAAAAAACAGGACTTTTCTGAGTCAGATGTCCAAAGGGAAATATGATTAAAAAGTAGAGACTGGTTATTTAGTGTTATTTCTGATGGCTACTGGAAATGTATATGAAGAGCTTAGCACACCATCTGGGACACAATACCCCTATAATGAAAGTTAGCTGCAGTTATTTTTATTATTAGAGTTTTCATCATGATACTTCTAAGCTTACCATACAACCTAATTAATAGCTGAGTTAGATCAGTTAGGAACTCAGTAAGCTTTTGTTAAATTTAATTTTCCTATTGTGTAACATTACCTAGGTAGCAATTCTTACACTAGTAAAATTTTCCAATAAAAGAAAAAGTCACTCACTCAAAATGCTTACTTTTCAATAAATCCATCTCTAGTAAAATACTCATGACGTAAAAGTTCAGAAGATGATATCCTCTCAGAAGGATCAATTTGTAAACAAGCCTAGTATATTAAAAAAAAAAATTCTAATGTTAAGAAAGCTCTTCACAGGACTTCATATGGCAAACTTAAACTTAATAACTGTAGAAGGAAGGAAGTATACAAAGTTAAAAGGGATCTTGAAAACATGTTATTAGACCTCAAGAATTTCTGACATTGAGTTCTGGTCATTTCTAACCCTAAAAAATTACAAAGTATTACTGCAGGTTAAATGTTGTATCACTCTAGCCAAAACAGCTGGAATTAGCAGAATTAGCTCATTTTGATCAGTCATGTTAAGGTAGGAGAGTTCAAATATTCATAATTTATTTTAAAGAACTAGAACTCAATCAAGAATTTTAATTCATTCCCTCTTCAGTACCCTTTCTATGCTGTAATATAATTTTACAAATATCCAAGCCCCCAAATCTTCCAATAACCCATTATTACAATAGCACTTTTCTGTTTCCCTACCTTGGGAATAATAATATACTATATAGATCAAAAGAGAAAAAAACCAAAATACCCACAAAACTAAAACAGATAATACAAAGAAGAGTTTTGTTTAACAATTTGTATATAATCAATCTACATATAATTATTATAGATAGTTCAATACATATATTAGAGCATTTGCATCAGTCATTTGCTTTGCAGTTATTACTCCTCTAAAGGAAAGCAAACACAATGATAATATGTACTTTTAATGATGGCTATTATGCATTGTGTAATACCCCATCTAGCTTTTTTTATTACTTGACCCCCAACAATAAAGCTTCAAGGTAGGAATTATTATTATATTATTGTGCATATGAGGAGACTGAGACCCCACAATGCCAAGGAATTTGTCTAAAAGTTCATAAATAGAAGAGCCAGAATTAAAATCCAGAAAATCCAAATATGTATACTTTTGCTTACTTCAAAATATGTTTTACTTGACTCACAGAAAGTTATAGAGACCTGCTATGCAACAGTATGAATATAGTTAACAATACTGTACTGTATATTAAACATTTCAGAAAGAGGGTAAGTTTCATGTTATTTTTTACAATAAAAATGTTGACTCAAAAAGTTAAAATGAGGCCATCATCTAATTTGTGAAACGGGAATACCCAGCTTTTAAAAAATGTAACTTGCTAAAAATACTTATTTTAGAATATAATAGTAGTCCACCAGTAAAATTTAGTAAGAAAAATGCTAAAAGGTCTGCTCAAGTGTGGAGGCAAATCAATTAATCTATCTATGAAAAATACAATTCAGAAAAGTTCGATGGATGTCCTACTTTGAAAACTGTAAAATGTGATACTTTGAGAATCAGGATGATAGTTAAATACACCACTCTACTCTTAGATGTTCACCAAAAGGAAAATATACATCTATATAAAATCTCATGCATGAATGTTTGTAGCAATTTTCTTTGTAACAGGGGAATAAAAAAATGTGATACACCCACACAGGAAAACACTATTGAGCAATAAAATGGAATAAACTGTGACACATGTAAAAAAAAAAACCAAAAAACACATACATACACGCAAATCAATCTCTAAACCACAATGCTGAGTTAATGAAACCAGACATAAAGAAGTACAAAGTGTGATTTCATTTTTGCAATATTTTAGAAAATGCAAACTAACTTATAGAGACAGAAAGCAAATCTGTCTTTTTTTCAGTGGTTGTCTGGGGACAGGAATGAAGGAAAAGGTGGAAATATAGTACATTAGTCAAGATGAAAGTCCTTGCAACATATGTGACAAGAGATTTATGTATTTATTATTTTACAAGTGAATATGAAAAAGATACTCTAGTTGCCAAATAGACAAAGATTCTTAAAATAAGAAATACAAATAACCAATCTGTTCTGAAATGTTATTAAAGAAATGATAAATGCAATTAAAGAAATGACACTATTCTCACATTAAATTGGCGAAGATTTAAAAATTACAACATCCAGTGCTAGACTAAAAGCGGGAATTTATATACAATACTACTTAAAAATACAAAGTTGCACTGAATATAAATGCTCAAAAGTATGGCATAGTTTCTATATATTGACATGTTGACATATTTACATATACTAAGTGAAAGTAAACAGGTTAGACAGCAAAGCATGACATCTTTTAAAAGGCACAAATTTCTCCCACAGGGATTACAATTGAGATGAAAAAAAAATGTACAAGTGATGTAAAAATAAACTATTATATTATGAAGAAAAAAAGGCACAAATTTCTATGCACATATTTCATTGGGAAGAGTCTAGAAGTATATAAAGTAAAATGTAAACAGCAATTGTTTTTTCAGAGTGTGAGCGCTGGGGGAACTCTCAATTTCTCCCTTTCGTTTATCATGTGTTTTCTACTTTTTCTATGATGACTATGTATTCCTTTGATAATTAAAACTGAAATGGAAAGAGAAATTAAGCTGAAATATAGTAAAAATATATGACCTTTAGTAAATCCTGTTCTAAGTACGAATAAGATTTTCTTTCCTTCAACAATAATCTTAAGATGCTATATATCATATGTTTAAGTTTATCTAAAACACTTGAAGTAATAACAATTAACATCTGTTAATAGCTTATTCAAGGCTCTATGCTAATAACATGTCTACCATTACCACATTTAATCCTCTAGCCCCAGAAAATAAATACTGCTAATGTTGTTTTATAGCTCAGTAAACTGAGACACAGAGATTAAGTGACTTGCCCAAAGGTACAGAGCTAATTAGTGACAGAGCTGGGTTTTAAATATAGTCTCTATGATTCCAATCTCTTCTTATAAATACTAAGCTACATTTGCTTTGAAATTTAAATAGCTAATTTTTTAAAGTACTATACACAAAAATAAGATGCCTACGTTGGTCCTAGGAAAGAAATTGGTTGAACAGGACAAATAAATAAATTTACTTTTCATAGTAAACTCTCTTATCTTTTTAATTTTGTTGTAAGGACACTGGAATGTTGGTTACCCATTTTAAAATAGAATTAAAATTTTAAATGAATTGTGCTTATATTATTTTTGTGTCCTCTAGTTGAAGTTGAACTTTGACATTGGTATATTTTCAAACAATGTTAAAATTGGTGTTGTTGGTGCCTTGAGATACCTTCAGATACCACTGTACATGGAACAGATGCCTAATCTGAGTAGGTGGTTTTAATAATTGTAAATTCTTAGAATTTTTCCAGTTTCATTAATCATTAACATTAGAATAATCTAGTAATGATTAAAATTAGGATAATCTGGCCCTCCCTGGTGGCACAACGGGTTAAAGCACAGCACTGAGAAGCTAAAGCCACTTTCCGCATGAATTCGATTCCCTGCCCCAGAGGTGACCACATGGCGTGGCAGACCTCTCCTGACCCGCCCGCTGCTCCCCTCAGCAGTGTACTTCGGTGATCTGCCTGTTCTGCTCCCCACTCTGTCTCTGGTGAAGCCTCTCACCGCCCCTGAGCCTCTGGCCTGTACCCCAGTTCTGTATGAATAAATAAATACATCTTTTTAAAAAATCTTTAAAAAAAAATTAGGATAATCTAAAAATAATAGCCAAGATTACCCTAGAGGGTTTTCAGTTCTAATGGTCCATGAATTATAATTCACCTGAACTAAAGAAGACAGAGGAATATAGTAATTTTTAACAGATACTTAACATTTAACATGACATATAATTTTGTAATTTCATTTAAACTGTATATCCTAAAACTGTATTATAATGTATAAAAATTTCCCAGAAGTAAAGCATTAATCTTTTAACATACATGAACTATATCTGCCAATAATCCATTTAGTTTTGGGTATTTTTTTCTTGCATTTTTAGGATGCTGAACTTGAGGAAGGACCACCCCAGCAAAAATGGGACTTTTGGAAAAGATATTCTGTAAATGAGGTGTCAAATTGCCTGAAAAGAGAAAAAGTATGTATATAAGAAAACAGTGATATTAACCTACAATTAAAATAAACTATGTGGCTTACATTAAATTACTAATGAGGGAAAAGAGCAATTATGTTCTTTAAATTTTTAAAAAATTGAACATGGAAATACTTGAAAATAGCATGAAAAATACTGGTTTCCCCAGTAACCTGTGCACACAGCAAACAGTATATAGCCAATAGAGAATATGAAAGCACCGAGTTCATTTTCTTCTCCCAGAGTATCAGACATGATATACAATGCCACAGGGAAAAGCACATTACAAGTTTTACATATTTCCATATGGATATATAAATGGTTTAGCTAGCGAGTGTTCATCAACAAACAGCAGAAATATTAAAAATGGTTAGAAACAGAAATAGTTCAAGGAATTGGTGACAGGTATGGTGACATAGTGTATGTCTGAGTAGGTGTGAAACTATTCTCCTAAAGCATATACTATGCTGTAAACCAATGTTACCTTAATTTAAAAAAGGAAGAAATATTTCGAAGAAGAAATAATATTAGGGAGCAGTAGCAGAAACTAAAAAGATATATAGAAAGTAAACAACTAAGTTTTAGTATGAATTTGGTATAACTAGTTTCACTGCTTTAGGCAAATCTCTTCCTTTTAAAGTGTTTTCATTTCCTCATCTGTAAAATGACCAAACTGACCCCATTTCTAAGGCTTCTTTCCTAACTTTAATGCTATAACCAGAACTTTAAAGATGACACAAGAGATGCTTTAAGCCTCTAGACTGTATCTTTAGTCCATATTTATCCAGATTTCACAGCTTTTAATAGCTGTTCACAGTACCTTCCTTATGGTCTTATAAACACATGCTTATGCATAGCTTCCCCACCACATAAAGGGCTCCTCATATGAGAATATATAAAAACAACAAATCACTGAAACTCCATTAGCAAGGCTAACCATCAAAATGTTTGAGTAGTCAAAACAGATCATCAAATTATTCATTTTTCATCAAATACATTTTTGAGCAAATTATTTTGCTAGCTAGTTCTCAACTGTGATAAAAAAAAAGTTTCCTAAGAAGTAATTTTCTATCTCCCAAATCTAAATAGCATCTGTTAGAAGTCATCTTTAAGAGATGCAAATAATTTGTAGAAATCAAAATTTAAAAACAACTTTCCTACAAATTGAAGTGACTGTCCACTTATTATTTTTCTTAGCATCAACCATCAAAATATGGCTAAGCTATCTGTATCCTGGAAAAGAAATTACTATTTGCAAAAACAGGAGAACTTTCTACTTTCATCAGCCCAAGGCATTCATCCACTGCTAGCGAGCAATACAATGTTTTCCATTCTTAGAAAGAAAAAACTAAATATGAAAGGATTAAGGGTACCTGATTTGGCAATTTTATTTTAGGCACTGTACAATATATTTCAGTAATACCTACCTACTTTTAAAACGATTTTATGAAGTAAATCCAAATCAGAGCTGCTAGGAAGATAGGGATTTCCTGTAGCCATCTCAATGATCATACAGCCCAAAGCCCAGATATCCACAGGTCTGATGCAGACAAGAATAAAACACTTTTTCATGGAGAAATATACAAAATATTTTCTTAAAAACTTTTAAGATAAAGGCCAAAGTGAAAAGAAGAGTTAGGTAGTATTCGATGGAAGCAATGTAGAGGTCCATATAAGAAGTAACTCTAAGTTGGGCCTACCTGGTGGCACAAGGAGTTGTGTTTCAGCACTATGAAGCTATCAGCAGCCAATGCAGCATGAGTTTGATCCCCTGCCAGGGAGCTAACCCACATACGCAGACCTCTCCTGTCTTGCCCGCTACTCCCCTCCCTCAGCAGTGTATGTCAGTAGATCTGTTCTGCTCCCCACTCTGTCTCTGGTGACTCCACTCAACCCTTGCATCTCTGACCTACACCCCAACTCTTATATGCATAAATAAATAAACTAAATCTTTAAAAGCAACCTAAAATTGCTTCAGATACATACTTAAATTCATTACATAAAAAGTCACAAATGGGGGCATTCCCTGGTGGCGCAGCGGGTTAAAGCACTGCACTGAGAAACTGAAGCCACTTCCGCATGAGTTCGATCCCCGCCTGCCCCGGAGGCGACCACATGGCGCGGCAGACCTCTCCTGACCCGCCCGCTGCTCCCCTCAGCAGTGTACTTCGTCCATCTGCCTGTTCTGCTCCCCGCTCTGTCTCTGGTGAAGCCTCTCACCCTCCGCAACTCTGGCCTGTACCCCAGTTCTGTACGAATAAATAAATAAATCTTTAAAAAAAAAAAAAGTCACAAATGGTTTTTGAATAGGAATATTAAAATGTCTTACATTTTAAAAAGTAACAATTAAAAATCTTAAATATTGGACCCTCCCTGGTGGCACAGCAGGTTAAAGCACAGCACTAAGAAGTTAAAGCCACTTCAGCATGAATTCAATCCCCCACACCCCGTAGGCGATCCACATAGTGTGGCAGACCTCTCCTGACCCGCCCGCTGCTCCCCTCAGCAGTGTACTTCGGCCTGTTCTGTCTCTGGTGAATTCTCTCGCTGCCCCAGCACCTCTGGCATGTACCCCAGTTCTGTATGCATAAATAAATAAATCTTGAAAAAAAAACTGAAATATCTTACTAGACTTCATTTATGTATTTAATCAATTGTAAGTTAAGCATAATTCAAACTTTTCCACCAGGTAAGTTTTTTAAAACTGAGGCTTTTAGATAGATAGCATGTCCTACCTCATATTTAGAAGAAATATAAACAATAATATCTATTTTTTAATCCATTTGATCAAAGATTATAATATTTGGCAACTGCTATAGTTGTGAGATTGTAGAAAATAAATGCCTATCTACTATTTTAGGAGCATAAATTTTACCTTTTCAAAGATTTGTTTATTTATTTATTTATTTATGCATATAGGAACTGGGGTACAGGCCAGAGGTGCAGGGGGTGGTGACAGGATTCACAGCAACAGAGTGGGGAACAGAAACAGGTGGATGTACCAAAATACACTGCTGAGGAGAGCATCAGCAGGAGAGGTCTGCCATACTAAGTGGTTTGCCTCCCTGACTAGGGGTTGAACTCAGTGCTGTAGTGGCTTTGGAAAGCCCCACAGTGCTGTACCTCAACCCCCTGTGCCACCAGGGAAGGCCCAAGTTTTATTTTTATAGCAGTACATTTGGCAAGAGCTACCAAGATTTATATAATATACATACAATGAGACAAATATTTGCCTAGGAATTTATCCAAAGATTGACTTACAAATGTGCACAGATATGTATTATGTGAGACTCTCACTACAACACTGTGGTAGTAAAAGATTAGAAATGACCTAAACATCCACTATTACAGGAATGGTTATGTAAATTTTTGTACAACCACACGGTGAAATATTATGCAATTGTTAAAAGGATGAAGTAGGTGTATCTATATTATAAGCTAGTGTAAAGTGATATTTAAGATACAAGTTAAAAAAAGCAAGACTCTAAAGAAATTAAAGGTGGTCTATATAATCAAAAGGATCGTCCATCTTCATGGAAAGGAATTATATTGCCAGGATATTAGTTCTTCCAACTTGATATACAGGCCCAAGAAAATACAATCAAAATCCAATTTTAATATTAAAAAATTGCTTCTAATGTTTATCCTGAAAGGATTAAAAAAAAGCTATCCTTTCAGGATAAACTTTAGAATCAATTTTTTAATATTAAAAACAAAGTCAGAGGAAAGACACAACTTGATTTCAAGATATTTATAAAGCTGTTATAATCAAGACAGTGTGGTATTGGTGAAAAAAAGATGAATCAGGGGCCCTCCGTGGTGGCACAAGGGGTTAAAGAGCAGCACTGAGGCTGTCTGCTGCCAGGGAGTTCGATCCCTGGCCAGGGAGGTAACCAACATGGCACAGCAGACCTCTCCTGTCTCACCCACTGCTGCCCTCAGCAGTATATTTTAGTCAATCCGTCTGTCCTGTTCTGTTCCCCACTCTTGTCTCTGCTGAATCCTCTCACAGCCCCTGCACCTCTGGCTTGTACCCTGGTTCTTGTATGCACAAGTAAATAAACCTTAAAAAAAAAAAAAAGGATAAATCAGGGTAACAATAGATACTCTAAAAACAGACTCACATAAATATACTTAACAGGTCTTTGATAAAGAAGCAGAGACAATTCAGTAAGGAAAGGAAAGTTTTCAGTGAGAGTGAAACAACTGTATAACTATGCAAAAACTTGAACAAAGAACATTAATATAAATCCTACATCTTTGACAAAAATTATCTCAAAATGGATCATAGACATATATGAGCAAAACTATAAAACTTGCAGACAACATGGAGCTTCCCTACGACCCAGCAATCCCACTCCTAGGTATCTACCTAAAAGATACCTGCACCCCCATGTTTGCTGCTGCTTTATTTATAATTGGAAAAACATGGAAGCAGCCCAAATGCCCAAAAGTAGATGACTGGATTAAAAAGATGTGGTACATATATACAATAGAATATTACTCAGCAACCAAAAAAGAGAAACACATGTCTTTTGCAGCAACTTGGATGGAGCTGGAAAAGATCATGCTTAGTGAGATAAGCCAGAAAGAGAAAGAAAAATGCCAGATGGTTTCACTCATAGCAGGAGTATAATGGACCAGGCGAGAAAATAACAAGAATAATGAACAGCCATATACCAGAGACATTTTGTGGGGGTGGAGTGGGGAATGGGATCAAAAACGGGGGGTGAGGAGGGAAGTGCATGGGATTATGGTGATGGCACACAGGTGACTTGGTGATGGGAAACCTGTGGGGATTACAATTGAGATGGAAATGACATGCATCAAAAATTATAAACACTCTTAAAATAGAAGTAAACAATATAATTTAAAAATGGGCAAAATATATGGATACCTCATTAAAGAAGAAATAAATATTGCAAATACGCATATGAAAAGCTGTTCTCCATCATATGTCATCAAAGTATTGCATATTAAAATAGCAATCCAAAATGATAACACCACCAAATGATGTAAGGTGTGGAGCAATAGGAACTCTCATTCATTGGTGGTGGGAATATAGAATGATATAGCCACTTTGACCGCTGACAAATTATTACAAAGCTAACCATTATCTTACCATATAATGCAGCAATAACTCCACAATTTGGTATTTAGCCAAATGAGTTGAAAAACTATGTCCACAAAAAAAATTCACCTGTACTTAAATATTTATAACACTTTTATCCAGAACTACCAAAACTTGAAGCAAACAAGATGTCCTTCATTAGGTGAATGGATAAACAAACTGTTATACATATACACAATGAAATATCATCTATCAATAAGAATAAATTAGCTATTAAGACACAAAACCATGGAGCAGTCCTAAATACATACAGCTAAGTGAAAGAAGTCAATCTGAAAAGATTACATAATGTATAAACCAAACATAACTTTATGAAAAATGAAAAAGTATAAGGTAAAAGGACAATGGTTGTAAAAGGAGGGAGTTGAAAAGGAAGGAAGGAATAATAAAAAACAGAAGGCAGAGGATTATTAGGGCTCAGAAACTACTCTGTATGATGCTATAATGGTTGACACATTATATTATATACTTGTTAAAATACATAGGAGACACAGTACAAAGAATGAACCCTAATATATATAAACTATAGGCTTTAGTTAATGATACTGTACCAATATTGACTTGCTAATTGTAACAAGCGTACCAAACTAATGTAGGATACTAATAATAGTAAAACTATGCTGTGGTAATAGGGTTGATGGGGATAAATGGAAACTCTACTTTCTGCTCAATATTTCTGTAAACCTAAAACTGCTCTAAAAAATTAATTGTATCAATTTTTTAAAATTCAGAGAAAAAGTCAAGTTTATATAAGACATATAGTATGCTCCCATTTCTGTGTGTTTGTTTCTGTATTGCTAGATAATGAAAGGAATAAATGAGTTAATTGTAGTATATACAATTCAAGTTCACATTAGTACTGGATAATATAACAGGAACTTTAAAACTTGCATATTTCACAAGAATTAAGAATCTAAAATAAATTCATAAATTTTAATGAGAAATAGAAATGTTCAGTTTTAGTTTTCAAAACATTAAGCAAACTCTTATGGATATGCCAAACAATATGGAATTTCTGCTTACCATTTCCACTTCCAAGAGACACTAAAAATGTTCCTAGATAAGCCAGTGCACTTACCCAACCTGATCTAAGTATCTACAGTTCAATTTAGTAAGTTAAGGAATTACCTGTAGAAACGTAAAGCTTTGTCTCAGTAGATCTTCCAAAGAGCAATGGAAGACAGAATACATGTAGTCAATAGTCACTGCAGCAGTGATCTTAGGTTTCCTATTAGCTAAAATGTGATCAAGTGCTAGTCTAATTAGGGTAAGAGTAGGATTAAAATAGAAGTACAAAGGGATGGACTTTTATCTTGATAGTGTGACATGTGCGAAAAAACCAAATTATTAAAGTTTCTGGAAATAGTACAAAGGGTAAACAACATAGGAAGAAATATCTACTCAAGGAAATCCATGGAAATTTGGTAAGAAGATGAGTCTTTGGTATTTATATCACAACCACACTTTCCCTCTTGCACTTCAGTTCAGTGATGCAAACACATTACCCTGCACAGTTCTAGTCACAGCTCTACTTTACTCTCTAGCTCCCAGTCAAAGGGCTTTATTTCCAGGAAGTGCAGAATTTTACTTTTTCACATATTACCCCCAGCTACCTATTGCTGAAGCTAAGTCCTGGGTAAGGTTAAGAGGTAAAGTCCCCTCTTCTGACAAGTCCCAATTCACAGAACCGTGATTCTATGTATTGGCTGTGGTACAAGAAAATACAGAGCTCCAATTCCCATTGACCCATTCCATGAGGTGGTGGTTCCACACCAGGAAAGGCCAACACAAGGCAGCTGCCTCCCCACACCTCACTGAGCATTCAGTTCGTACAGTGGAAGTGCGATTTCGATAGAAGATTGCATTATCCCCATCCTAACTCTAGAGCCCTGGCTCAAATATTTTACCTAAGAAAAGAAGCAGGAATCTATTCTAAAAGTTAGCAGAAAATAACCAGAGACTAAAGCAACTGGGAGAAGCCTTCCTGGGATCAGATGAAGTATTAAATATGACCCACAAAAATGACTTCTTTGAAGGATCTTAATTTGATTCGTTTGAAGGACAATTAAAATCCTAAGGCAATACTGAAAACAACACACCAAACAGCCATCAGTTAGTGGAGTTTTATAGTTAGGTGTAGTTGGGAAAAGAAAAAAGAAATTAACACCAGTCATCCCAGGGTGGCTGTGATCTATTCAGATTGTGCATCCCTGAGATACAACAAGAAGATTTAGTGCACATATGAGTGTGAGGGGTTGAGGGTAGGGTTGGAAGAGGTGGGGTTGTGTGTAGAAAGACTTCACTAAACTAATCCAGTCAATCATAATATAAACATGCAAATAAAATTAACAAGCCCAAATAAGTCTCATATCCAACATTGCTATAGTATTTTTTTTAAAGATTTATTTATTTACTCATACAGAACTGGGGTACAGGCCAGTGATGTAGAGGGTGAGAGAACCCACCAGAGACAGAGTGGGGAGCAGAACAGGCAGATCAATGATGTACACTGCTGAGGGGAGCAGCGGGCAGGTCAGGAGAGGTCTGCCACGCCATGTGGATCACCTCTGGGGCAGGCGGGGTTCAAACTCATGCAGAAGTGGCTTAAGCTTCTTAGTGCTGTGCTTTAACCAGCTGCGCCACTAGGGAGGGCCCTGCTATAGTATTTTAACTAAAATGTTCAGGTTCCTACAAAAAATTGGGAGGTACACAAAGAAATCTATGAGGTATGACCCATACACCTGGAAAAAAAAGCAAGCAGCACAAACTTCCTGAGCAACCAGATGCTGGATTTGGAAGAAAAATACTTCAAAATGACCATCATATATATGTTCACAAAAAAGAAAGCATGTTTGCTTAGTGAAATAAGCGAGAAAGGAAAGTAAAGGGAAAATACCAGATGGTTTCACTCATAGCAGGAGTATAACAGACTAGGTGAGAAAATAATAATAATAATGAACAGCTATATACCAGAGACATTTTGTGGGGGTGGAGTGGGGACTGGGATCAAAAACAGTAGGGGGAGGGAAATGCACTAGACTATGGTGATGGCATACGGGTGATTTGGTGATGGGAAGCCCACGAGGATTACAACTGAGATGGAAAAATGCACAAAATGATGTAAAAATAAACTATGATATTATTTTTTTAAAGCATGATTAAAACAATAAAGGAAGATATAGTGATAATGTTTTTATTAAACAGAGACTATCAATAGAGAATAGATACTGGTTTTAAAAAAGAGAAACAAATATGAATTCTGGAGTTGAAAAATATAACTGAAAATAGGCCTCTCTGCTGGTGCAGTGGGTTATTGCGCAGCTCTATGAAGCCAGCTGCAGCCCCTTCAGCACAAGTTCTATCCCTGGCCAGGGAGCTGACCCACGTGGCTCAGCAGACCTTTCCTGTCTTGCCTGCTGCTCCCCTCAGCAGTGTATTTCAGTACAGCTGCTTGTTCTGCTCCCCACTCTGTCTCTGGTGAGTCCTCTCATCCTCCCAACTCTTGCCTGTACCCCAGTTCTGTACAGATAAATAAATCTTTAAATATATACATATATAAATGAAAACAAATTTACTGGCCTGTTCAACAATTGATTGAAAAGGTAGAAAAATAATTTATAGACTTAAAGGGGAGATTATTCCAGCTAAAGAATAATGAGAAAAAAAGAAACGGTCACAGGGATATCTAAGATACCATTATGCACACCACCATATGTAAGTGGGAGTACCAGGAGAGAAAAATTATTAGAAGAAAGAATGGATGAAATCAGCTTAAATTTACTGAAAAAATTAATCAATCTTACCAAATTCCAAATAAGGTAACTACAAAAAGATTCACAAACATGCATCAGAGTAAAATGCCTTAAGTCAAAGACAAGGAGAGAATTTTGAACCTAGCAAAAGAGAAAAAAATAACTAATTACTTATATAGGAAATCCCAAGATGAACAGCCTCTCTGGTGGCACAGGAGTTAAAGTCTCAGCACTCTCAGGTTATCACCAGCCACTGAAGCACCAGGTCCATCCCTGGCAAGGGAGCTGACCCACAAGATGCAGCAGACCTCTCCTGTCTCCCCTCTCGCCTGCGCTGCTCCCTTCAGCACTGTATTTCAGTTGACCTACCTGTTCTGCTTCCCAATCTGTCTCTTGTGAATCTCCTCAGCCTCAACTCCTCTGGCCTACACCACAGTTTTTTTTGTTTGTTTGTTTTTTAGATTGATTTATTTATTCATACAGAACTGGGGTACACAGGCCAGAGATGCGGAGGGTGAGAGGATTCACCAGAGACAGAGTGGGGAGCAGAACAGGCAGATCGACAAAGTACACTGCTGAGGGGAGCAGCGAGTGGGTCAGGAGAGGTCTGTCACACTATGAGGGTCACCTGCAGTGTGGGGACTGAACTCATGCTTTGGCTTCTTTGTGCTGTGCTTTAACCTGCTGTGCCACCAGGGAGGGCCTATCCTGAATGATTTTAAGAGCAGCCATATAAAATGTGTGCAACATATTTTTGGGCCTACTTCACATAGAAATTATATGTAAAATATATTTGCCAGTGACAGCAAAAAGGAAGTAGGGTAAGGAAATGACTATATGCTAAAAAATAATTAAAACAATCTATTGTTGAGTTTGCCACATTAATAGATGAGTATTAAAAATCAGAAATAGGAACTAGACCTGTATAAGAACAAGTTTTCTATGTATATAACACTGAGAGTAAGTTATTATAAATCTGAAGCACACTCTGATAATGTGAGGTATAAATAGCAAGTACTAGATCAACCACAAAAAAGAAAACTACTGAAAAAAGTAGTAGTTTTAGAAGAGCAAAAAGATATAGATACAAACAATAAATTGGCAGAAACAAATCCACCTACATCAGTAACTTTTAATGTGAATATATTATTTTTTAAAGATTTATTTATTTATGCATACAAGAGTTGGGGTGCAGGCCAGAGGTGTGTGTGTGGGGGGTGGTGGTGAAAGGATTCACCAGAGACAGAGTGGAGAGTACTGAACAGGCAGAGCTACTGAAATACACTGCTGCAGGGAGCAGTGGGTGAGACAGGAGAGTTCTGCTGTGCCATGTGGGTCAGCTCCCTGGCTGGGAGGTGCTGCAGTGGCTGTGGAGAGCTTCACAGTGTGCAACTTAACCTGATGTGCCACAGGGAGGGCCCTAGTGTAAATATATAAAACAATCACATCAAAAGACAGAGATTATCAGCATGAATAAAGAAAAGCACCTGATTCTATTTGTTTTCTAGAGAAAGCACGTAAGAACGGCCTCCCCTCCAGTGTCTTGTATTAAGTGTATGACCTGGTCGGTCCCTTTATGTTCTTCTAGACTGACTCTGTGCATCCAGTTGCTGTTTGCATACTGTTTGTGCTGTCTGAGAAGCCACTGAAGCCATACTGTCTTTTGAGGCAGCTAGAATAGTATGATTTTATAATTTATCTGTCAGCCCTTGCAAAGAGATTGCCATATTCCAGGAAAGAAACTTGGCAGTTCTGATGATAACACCAAACAGAGTAAGATTAATAGAGATTTTAAATCTTTACAGAATATAGAAGCTAAAGATAAGCAGAGCGGGCAACCAGACTGATGGTGGGACACAGCTTAATACAAGCATAGACACAGCCGGAGGGATGTCTGCACAAGCCTCCTGGGGCTGAGGCCACTCAGTTCCAGAGGGCAAGTGTGGCAGCATCAGTAGCCAGCAGGGGAGGTGCCTGCAGGACCTGTGTGTTCTATTCAGAGGCATTCCTTTCTTAGCCCCAATCTAGACACAGACAGTGGAAAAAATCAGTAGTAGGGGTGACAAACACACCAAAGGAGAGGAGAGTTGCCTAGGAAAGATCAGACAGGATCTCAAAATATACGTACTTTCCGTAAGAGGTATCCTTTAATACTAATTCTGGAGCTCTGTACCAGCGTGTGGCCACATAGTCTGTATAAATGTCCCCAGGAGCTGCTAGTGTCCGTGCAAAACCAAAATCACAGAGCTTAGTAATTCCTGACTGGGATACTAAAATATTCTCAGGTTTTATATCTCGATGAATGATCTAAAAAACGAAAATAGAAGATGCCATGTATTAAATGAACTTTCATTTTTATCTAGAGAATCTCATATATTATACAGAGAAAATCTAGCTACTTGAGACAGCAAAGCTATTTTCTTACCACATCAAAGGGTTAACTGTATAAGACAAAAGTTAAAAAGTGTATGTTTTCAATTCGTGCCCCATCCATCCTCTAAAAAAACCAAGAGCCTGAAAATGTAAATCTTTTTCCTAAAAAGGAAAAGAGAAGTTAGTGAAAAACCACTTCAGACCACACTTCAGGTATTGCTCTAATTTCCTTCACTGTAAAACCTCTTGAAAATGTCTTTTTTTTTTAAGATTTATTTATTCATTCATACAGAACTGGGGTACCAGCCAGAGGTGCAGGAGCAGTGAGGGGCTTTACCAAAGACAGTATGGGGAGCAGAACAGGCAGATTGACAAGTACACTGCTGAGGGGAGCAGCAAGAGGTCTGCTGCATCATGTGGATCACCTCCAGGCTGGGACCAAACTCACACTGAAGTGGCTGCAGCCAGCGTGCAGTGCTGCGTCCTAACCTGTTGCTCCACCAGGGAGGGCCCTCTTGAAAATATCTTTATCAGAAATCACTTTCTAACCACTCATTCACTCTTCAAGGTATTGTGTCTTTCTTCTGTGCCCACATTCCATTAAACCTGCTAGCCAGTCATCAAAAACCTTACAGCTGCTAAATCCAATACCTGCCCCTCTCTACATATTCATACACCAAATTGTCTGAATAATCTCCTCACATCTTTGGAGGGGGGGAAGCACTTTCTTCACTTAATTATGGAGACACCAGATACCATACCCTCTTTGGTGTCTTCCTGCCTACTGGCCGCTTTATCTTGATCTCATCTGCAAATATATCCACTAATTACATATACATATACATATCATATATATACATATATAACTGCATTATATATGTGTTTCCGTACAGATATATCCATATATGTGTGTCTATATCAATATATACACATATATACTCATAATTTCCAAATTTCTAATGAAGTTCTCTCTTCTGGTTTCCACAAGTAGTAGAAGTCCCAAGATGTCCATCCAACAAGGCAGACCTACACATTCCTGAAATTTAGCAAATCCAAAACTAAATGTATCATCTTTTCTACCAAAAGACTGCTCTCAACAGTCTTTTAGTTCAGTGAGGGAACCAACATTGACACTTCCCACATGGTTCAAGCCAGAAACCAAGACGTTTTTCTCCCTCAGTCTCTATACACTCTTAACCACCTGCTTCTTTCCTGAGTTTAAGTCCTTCCCAAATTACTCTGATGCCCTCCAATCCACTGTCCACAATGAGGTCATTGTACTATTTTTTTAAAGATTTATTTATTTATGCATATAGAAGTGGGATATAGGCCAGAAGTGTGGGGCCAGGGGTGAGATTCACCAGAGTGGGAAGCAGAACAAGCAGATAGATTGAAATTGAAATACAATGCTAAGGGGAGCAGTTGGTGGGTCAGGAGAGGTCTGCCATACTGTGCGGGTTACCTCCCTGGCCAGGGATCGAACTTGTGCTTCAGTGGCTGCGACAACTTCATAGTGCTGTGTTTTAACCCATTGCGCCACCAGGGAGGTCCCCATTGTACTATTTTAAAATCACATGTGTGACCATGTCACTCCTCTGTTTAACATCCTTTAAGGATTTCCAATGCCACAGGATAAGTTAGAATTCATTAAAATGGCTTGAAAGGCCTTGTAGGATATGACCCCTGCTTTCTTGATCTCGTATCCATAACCAATAGAATATTAGTTTCTTAAATTTTTAGGGCATGTCTCATCACTACACATTTGCTGATGCTGTTTCAACTGCCTACAATTTGCCTGGTCAACTATTTACTCAGCCTTCAGCACAGATGTTTGCATTAAATGCTTCTTCTATGTGTACTTACATCACACTGAACCTGCCACATGACAGTATCTGTCATGTTATACTATTAACTGCCTGTTTATTTGTAACTCCCACCAGATGGTAAGCTGCATGAGGGCATGATGTGTCTTTCTTTCTTTCTTTCTTTCTTTCTTTCTTTTTTTATGTGTGTCTTTGTTATTCAAGCTAAATCCCCAATACTCAGTGCCAGAACAAGACACATTTTAAAATACCATCAAGTGAGTAGAAATATATACTTATCACCAACACTGTATGAGTGAGAAGAGCTCAGTGACAAAAATCTGTTGATAGTTTCTTATTTATACAACTATTTATGGTGAGTCTTTGGGAATGGCTCCTGTACCTCAGCCTCCATTAATAAATGGCAAACAAATTAACTTAGGATAAGTCTTAAAGTTGCCATCTGTAAAACTGCATTAATTCTTTTTTACTCTCACCTTTTTACTCTCACCACTTTCCCTGAGTAACTACTATATGCTTGTCACTATGCCAAGATCTGAGGATATAGCATGAGCAAAAATAGATATGGAAAAGCACATTAAGCTGCCACTTCACACATTCTGCCTACCACACATCCTTCACCTTTTTCCTTTGTGCTCTTAAAATGAGGCAGAAAGATCTATTCCATTGATACTTAATGCTTCCACTCTTTTCAATAACTAATTATATAGCTTCATTGCTAGTACAGTTAATTTTGGCATATTGGTCTTATATCCTACAACCTTGATAAACTTACTAATTCCTTCTGTCAACTTTGTTGTAGATTCCATAGGATTTTCTATGGAGATGATCATGTCATCTATGAATAAAGATCATTTTACTTCTCAAGACAACAACAACAACAAAAAAAAAAACAGTTCACATACTCACTAAACAGCAATAATCAAAAAGATAATAAGAAATATTTAGTATAGAATAAGTCATCCAAATGTTTGATTAATGTTTTAAGAAAACATCAAACAACAAACTAATAACGAGATGTTTCTTTTCATTAAAAGTATCCTTGCGGCCCTCCCTGGTGGCTTAGCGAGTTAAAGCACTGCACTAAAAGCTTAAGCCACTTCCACATAAGTTTGATTCCCACCTGCCCCAGAGGTGACTACATGGCGAAGCAGACCTCTCCTGACCTGCCCACTGCTCCCCTCAGCAGTGTACTTCGTCGATCTGCCTGTTCTGCTCCCCACTCTGTCCCTGGTGAATCCTCTCACCCTCCGCATCTCTGGCCTGTACCCCAGTTCTGTATGAATAAATAAATAAATCTTAAAAAAAAAAAAGTATCCTTGCCACCACCAGCACCCTGGTTTTTGGTATGAGATACAGTTCCATTCATTCGTTCAATAAACATTGAGACCTGTTCTACTAAAAAATACTACCCTGGGCAATGCATAAGGCAAAGTCTTTACTCTCACAGAGTTTACATTTGATAGGGAAGGCAGATTTCATAAGAACTATACACAAACTAATTAAAAGTTATGAAGGCAGTAAGAGTCAAGAGGGGTTATGACAGCAGGAATGGCAAATTGAGTACTTCCAAAATACACTCCTCTATAAACTCATGAAAATACTGGGGAAAACTGCTAAAAAAACTTTTCCAGGATTTGGAATTAACCAAAAGTCTACAAAAATCCAAAAAGTGACCAAATTTCAGTAGAAGCAGTTAGCTTTATTATATTCTTCACTTACCATATATCTATTCCCCTCTCCCCAGCTCCTGACATCCTTGGAAACTAGTGGCCTCAAAAAATGAATGGTAAGTTGAAGGGGGCTATATTTCTTCCAAAGCCCCACTCCAGGTAACTGTCATTAGTTGGCAAATCCAGCAGTTTCCTGGAAAAATCCCACCACAAAGCTTATCTCTATCTGACCCAACTCAGAACTTGTCTAGTACAAAGTCTTTCTTCTAGGGTCTTTGTCAAAAATAATTAGTGGCCACTGTACAGCCACATGAACCAACTGAAATAACTGGAACAAACAGCAAGTTTACCAGGATACTTTAAAACAAAAGGTTGAATGAGATATCCAGAGAGGACCTGAAGAGTTCCAACACATTTCTGAGAATCAAGATGTCTGCACAAATGATAGTGCTATACACAGGTCCAGGAGAGACTTGAGGTGGTTCTAAACTCTCACCTCTAACTCACGCTAAGGCACTGTACAAACAAGAAGGCGAGGCCAAGGCCCAGTTGTATTTTGAATGTATGTCCCAATACACAGAAACAGCCCATCAATAAGTAGGGCTGAGAGATTTATTGATTTCAGGCATTTAAGAAATCTCTATGAGGTCACAAGATAACCATTAAGTTAGCTGAGCAGAGATTTCATTGATCCCACACAACAAAGAATATAGATTTGTCAGAATTAGTTCAGGAAAGTAAACAATCACAACAAAAAGCAACAAGAAAACCTGGGAGATAGAAAATTGATTTCCAGAGCTGCCACATGGTATTATTTTAAAGCACAAATTTTCAAAAAGAAAAGAAAAAAAACAGCATCCAAAGAAACAAGTATGGTTCATACAAAGGGGGAAAAACTAATCAATAAGAAATTTTCCCCAAGGAAAGCCAAATATTGAACTTGTTAGACAAAGACTACAATTAGCTATTTTAAGTATTTTTAAAATTAAAAGAAACCCTGCCTAAAAAATTAAAGCATGAACACAATATCTCAGCAAAAAAAGAGAAGAAATGATTTAAAATTTTAAATAAAAAGGAACTACCTATAAAGCAAAAAGACAATTCCAAGAATGGGAGAAATTATTTGCAAATCATCTCTCAGCTAGGCATCAGATATCCAAAATATAAAAAGTACCTATTAATAATAAAAAAGACAAAAACCATATTTAAAATGAGCAAAGGATTTGAATAAACACTTCTTCAAAAAAACACATAAAGTAGAATTTGTCTATTTTGGATACTTTAAATATAATAACTCATTATGTGGTTTTTAATTAACATAATATTTCAAGATGCATTCTTGTAGCTTTTATTAGTACTTCATTACATTTTGCAGCTGACTAATTCCAATATATGGATAGACATCAATTGGTCCATTTATTATCAACTGATAGACATT